TTACTGGGGAAGAGTTTTCTTTGCATCACTTAAATACTAATATATGTACCCATAATGACATACATGTACTTCTTACCAGCTATGAAACAATGTCTTCTAAATTTTTTAAGTCTTCTTTTTAACCCAAAAATTATATTAAAGTTGCTATTAACTATATAGCTAACCTTTATCAATTTCATCACCAAAGGTTGAGTTCCACTTTTTTTTAGCTCATCTGAGCCGAAGGCTCAAGTGAGCTTTTCTGATCAAAATTTGTCCGTTGTCTGTTGTCATCATTGTTGGCGTTGTCGTTGTTGTAAACTTTTCACATTTTCATCTTCTTCTCCAAAACTACTGGGCCAATTTCAACAAATACAGTATCCTTGGGTGAAGGGGATTCAATTTTTTTCAAATGAAGGGTCACGCCCTCTTCCAAGGGCAGATAAATACAAAATAGTGAAAAATTAATGGCATCATTGAAAAATCTTCTTCTTAAGAAAGAATGGGCCAGGAAAGATGAAACTCATGTGGAATCATTGTCAGGTAGTGTAGATTCAAGTTTGTTCAAATCATTACCACTGGGGGTAGGGTTGAGCCACAGTGGACGATCAAAGTTTAACATAGGAATATATAGGTAAAATCCTCAAAAATCTTCTTCTCAAGAACAGCAAAGCTATGATTGGTCATATTTACAAGGAAGCATCCTCAGGTGGTGTAGAATCAAGTTTGTTTAAATCATGACCCCCTGGGGTAGGGTGGGGCCACAATGGACGGTCAAAGTTTAACACAGGAGTATATAGGAAAAATCTTAAAAATTCTTCTTCTCAAGAACAGCAAAGCCATGATTGTTCTTATTTATATGGAAGCATCTGAAGGAGGTGTAGATTCAAGTTTATTCAAATCATGATCCCTGGGGGTAGGGTGGGGCCACAATGGATGATCAAAGTTTAACATAGGAGTACATAGGAAATTTAGCTTTTAAATTCTAAACTGATTTTTGCTTTTTTCCTAGCCACAGTGCTCAGGTGAGTGATATGGCCCCTAGGCCTCTTGTTTTATCTCCATTGGATAGGGGAGGGGGAGGTGGAGGGTTATTTCTTTGAGAACTAAGACCCCATAACAAAGTATTAAACAAATAAGAACTAGCAAGTTGGCAAGAAAAGCAAAGTGTCATTGATGTATTTACTCTCTACTTTATAAATCGTTGTCTATAAGCTAAGGTTTTATGATTTTTAGGGAATGATTAGGATTTAATATCTTTTCCAACACTTAATTGATACAGCACCATTAGTGCCATGTATGTTTGTTGTCATAGTAATATAAAAAGAAACAAGAAGTCTGTGAGCCAATGCTCACTAATAATACCTCTGCTCTGATGTGAATACATAAGTTCAATTATGGACAGACACAGTGATAATCAGGAAGTTGACATCGGATTTGTACAAAAATGAGTCCCAACATATGGCATGCCTAAAAAAAGAGTGTGCTAAAATTTCAAGCATCTGTGATGAGTAGTTGCTGAGAAAAATGCCATCCAAATTTGTTATGTATGGTACGGACAGACACACAGATAAACAGGAAGTTGACATCGGATTCGTACAGAAATGAATCCCAACATATGGCATGCCTAAACAAAGAGTGGGCTAAAATTTCAAGCATCTGAAATAAGTAGTTGCTGAGAAAACTTCGACCAAAATTTGTTACGGACAGACACATAGACACACAAGGGTAAAACAGTATACCCCCTCTCCTTCAGAGTGGGGGTATAAATATTATAATTTGGCCATCAGTACCATCTTCTACGTTACTTATCATTTTTACACTATACATGTTCACATTCAAGTGTATAAAAACAAAGTGCTACAATAAAGTACAATACACACAGTGTGGTCTAAATGACACTACATTTCCTACATTAACCTGTCTATAAAAGTAAACAAGAGACAAACACAGTTACAAAAGATTAGATGTTCCAGAATATATTGCTCTACTGGTTTATACTAGATATGATAGCAAAAGAGAAAAACTGCAACTAGACTTGAAATGTTCTCTTTTTTTTGTCCCCCGCTTTTGCGAAAGCGAGTGGATACTGAATCTCATTTGACTGTCTGTCAGGCTGTCACAGAAATTTTAACCTTGGTCATAACTTTTGAATGAGAAGAGAAAGGGCTTTCATATTTCAAAAGTACATTACCATTGACAAGACCTTTCCAAATATACTACGTTTTTGACCATGTGATCCTTGAAGTCTGACCTACTTTTCAAAAATTTTAACATTATTTTAAATTGATAATAACTTTTGAAGAGAAAAGATAGGGCTTTCATATTTCATATGTCTTACCTGTGACAAGACCCTTCCAAATATGCTATGGTTTTTCACCCCGTGACCTTGAAGTTTGACCTACTTTTCAAAAATTTTATCTTTGCTTGTAACTTTTGATTAAGAAAACATTTGACATGTGCTTTACCTTTGACAAGATGTTTTTGAGCATATGCTATGATTTTTGACCCCTTGACCTTTGTTCTTCACATTATACCTAATTTTCAAAAAATTTAACTTTTGCTGATTGCTTTTGAATGACATATGACATAGGGCGTTCATATCTGACAAGTGCATTGCCTGTGTCAATGTGCTATGATATTTGACCCCCTGAACTTGACCTTCAAGTTTGACCTAATTTTCAAATTTTTTTCAGTGTTGCAAAGATAGGGCATTCATATTTGACACGTGTGTTACCTATGACAAGAATTTCCAAATGTACTATAATTTTTTACCCCATTACCTTGACCTTGAAGTTATAGACCTAATTTTCAAAAATTTTAACATTGCTAATAATTTTTGATTGAGAGAAAATTACCATTTACATTTGACATGTGCATCACCTTTTCAAAACTTTTCCGATTGTATACTCTGTTTTTTGATATTTTTTGCTCATGTGCATTACTTGTGATAAGACCTTCTGGATTGTATTATGATATTTGACCTCAATGACCACATGACCTTGATGTTGAAGTTTGATTTAGTTTTGAGAAGCTATAATCTATGCCATAATTGTTATTAATCAATAATTTATGGGTTTTTTTTTTGTATAATGCACAGATAAGACAGGACACACAAACAAGGCAGTTACAATGTGCCATAAATAATGGCATCCCATCCACTAAGACACCAAAGTGGGGGATCACAATTCCTTGAGTTTGCTTGTTTCAGTTTCCATCTGCAGGATTATATCCATGTATCTTGATGTTTTTTTAAAACTTGTACCAAGTTTCATCAAATTAAAAAAAAAAAAAAACATAGCAAGATTACCTTTTTGAAAGATTTTCATATAATATACTTTTTTCGTAGTCATGGCAACAACATATTGAACCTATAAATAGAATTATTAACCTTGGTATAGACTATACTTGTGAACCAAGTTTAATTGAAATCAGAATAAAATTTGGAGAGATAGCAATTAATTTACCGTAACCTAGCATTCTTCATTGAAATAAAAAATGTTCAGTGTACCACCTCAGTGTAGTACACATTTTACCAAGATTTGTTGAAATCATACTAATTAAAACTCAGTTTATAGTTGAAAGAATTTCTCAGAAATTTCTGTTAACTATTTACGTACATGAATGTACTATTTATGTACCTAGTTAATTCATTTTCTGTCTAATACAGATTCATATATAATTCAACATTAAAGCTTATAACTGCATGTACAGTACACCTATCCAATGTTACAAATCAATATATATAAAGTATATTTTATACTTTATTTTCATATCGTACTCAACAACCAATCAATTTCTTTTTAATTAGTAATAATAATAAAATTATGTCCATTATTCTACATACTGTGTTGAGGTGTTTTCAATCATCCCTTTTTCCAATCCTACATATAACAACCCACACAGAGATTTATATCGAGTCATCATAACATGAATTTGAAAAATCAATCACGAGTATCTCTCATTGTTCATGACTGTTTATAATTTTTGTTCTGCACTTAAAACTGTGAAGTGCTCAACTGTCAAATATTATTTATCAAAATCACAGTGTTTGTTCATGATGTTTATTGTGAGAAATAAGGAAAATCCAAATCAGGTACTTAAATTTTGATTATCTTAAATCACAAGAAATTATAATGTATTGGATTGACTGTCCAAATAATAACTATAAAGAATCTGAGGAAAGAGACTTAGAGTGGCACAATGCCATGTACATAAAGTATTATTTCTGCCTCATAAGGAAGGAAAAACTTTTTATACACGCATGAATTGTAGAGTTAAAACTGTGAAAACTGCAACATCACTTGAAATCTAAGCTCCCCAGAATAACTGACCAAGTCTACGTTTTGAAAATTGTTGAATAATTAAATTACTTAATATGTCTCACAGTCTGTCTCAAAAGTATGCACAGATGTATATATAAGGTATCTCTTATTGATTATTTAAACAATAAAAGTATATATTTACCATAGAGCTCAAGAAAAAGAATCTATAGCATGAATCAAGACATAAAATGCAAGGTCAGCTAGTTCATCATTATCCAGTTTTTTATTATGTACAGGTGACTTATGTAACTGCCATATATGTCTTCTATATGACTTAGTTTTACAATAAAACATTTCAAATGATACATCCCATTGTTCCCATCCTGTGTAGAATTTCACAGAAAATACATAATTCAATGTTATTGACTGAAACAGTGTATTGATTATGATCACACGCCTGATATATTTTAACCAGACATTTATCAATAAATTAAATTTCTCTGGTTTAATATGAAGTTCAACCTAGTGTATAAAGCATTTGTAGTAAAAGTTCTCTATTGAAAAAAAATCCTAAACCATGGTTCAAAAATATGATTCTAAAATTCTTCCTTTCCCTTCTAAACAACGAATGTATGAGAGTATTAATTAAACGCCCAAGTCTCCCTCTAACATACAAATGCCACCTATACTGTTATATCCTTATGCATATTCAATAATATGCATATTCAATAATAAAAGCGTTAAAATAACTCCTACCTTTATAACAACAATGATAAAACTTTCCTTCCCAGATGGAGGATAATCCTTAACATGTACACTTCACTGTTTGACGTTTACAGATGAGCGAGGCACACATCCAGGATGTATGTGTAACGACGTACAGTACAGCCATGCATATCACACAGGAAGTAATTACGCCTTCACATCCCTACAGCAATAATTTTACCACCATTTAAGTAAAGTTAAACTGAAAAAAAATTAATGAATATTAATGCTGGCATTGTTAAGCAGATGAATCATTTTAAGGATAGATTAAACAGTAAATATAGGATTAACAATTTCAATATACACCCTCCATCCACCTCAAAAATGGAAAATTCAAGCATATGCTTTTGTTCCATAAATATCAAAATATTTAAAATGAAAACTTGATATCAATTAAATTCTTTAATTCCAGAAGAGTTTTTATATAACACATGTTACTCCGTATATTCCCCAATGTTCCTCTTACAAATAAATTTGAAGCTATTGTAAATGTGCCAAGTGTTCATTTTGTGTTCTATCACTTTTTTTGTAATTATGTTTATACCTTCTCTATGTAATATAAATGCCTGGAGTGTTTATTGCATTCTTATCATACTTGAACTAAACAAAAACACCCATACAACTGGGATGAATTAATTCATTTTACCTAAAACCACTCTATGCAATTACAGTTAACAGCATAAAATTAGATTACCATGCAGTAACAGGTCAGACTTTCTTGTGTAATAGCAGGGAACAATCAAAAATACATGTAACTGATCAATGCTACAAACCAAAAATGATGGATTTATAATGGGTCACAGACTTTATGTGAATAAAAAAATTAACAGTTCCTAACAGGTCTCTCTCACAAAATGATATACATTCTATTTCACACACTCCTTTTTTTTTAATGTTCATTCAGTTTTTCAGCTTAATCATGAAATCATATTATAATTGATTATGATGATGGCATATTTCTCCTCCTCATTTGCTTGATTATCTCCCCTTCCATGAGGGTGTGGCCTTTCATTAAAAGCTTGAATCCCCTTCAACAAGTCTTTACCAACACACAGGTCTGAGACCCCAGGCCAGTAAAATTGACTGTTTGCCAGTGAGATTGAAAACCAAATAAGTCCCATTGGCCTGCCCCATTCCCAATTACAAGCGGACATTTTTTTCCAAATTTCTGCTATAAAATCCACAACCAATGAAAAACATCACAACAGTATGGTAGGATCATATAATTTTAAAAGACTTTTTTTTGTGTTATAAAGTTTTGTTCAAACATTTCAACTGCCTATTATACTACAGCTTTTACTGGATCATTTTACATCTATACAAATATCTTTTATTTTTCAGATTTCATTGTTTTCATATGTATTAATCTTTACAATATGAAATAAATGCATTCAATTTGTAAGACGTGTTTTGGGTAACTTCCACCATGCATAGGTAATTTCGACCACTGCCCCTATATTATAAACAAAATAATTGGTATCATCTTTTGTATAAGAAAATGAACTATAAAATCAAAATATTGTGTTTTTAAAAAAAAGGTAAAAATACTGACAAACAGAGATGGTAATTTTCAAAAAAGTGACTAATTTGAAGACACGGAATCACCCGGCCATCATGGTCGTTTTACTGATTTATCTAGGCACTAAGCTACAAATAATGTCACATGCACACACAGGCATCTTAACCAAAAGCAATCCCCCAAAAAATAATTAATAATTTCTCAGGCCAAAAATTTCAAAATTAAATGTGGCAGGCAGGTTCTTTTTTTTTTTGTTTGTTTGTTTGGAAGAAGGTGTTACACTTTTTTTTTTCATGTCAGTCCTTCAACAAAATGATATCAACTGATTCTTACCTTTTTTTTGTTCTCTTACATTAATTATAATATATGCTCAACTTTAAATGTTTTTTCAAACATTTGTTTAAAAGTTCATTTATAAATTACCGTATTAACAAGAAATATATTGTTTATCTTATAAAAATGTCTATCTGTTTGCATTTATGAAAAGGGGAATAACTCAATTTTTTTTCAACTTGGAAAAATAGAAAATTGAGTTATTTCCCTTCTCAATATGTCAATAAAATTGATCAATCTGGCAGTGTTTGACCTGAAGTGGCGGTGCCTGAGAAACTATTATTTTTTTTGCCTAAACCAAATAAGGTTTACACAGATGTAGATCTGGTTTTTGCATCATTATACTTCACCTATTTATTTTTTTTTTTTTTTTTTTTTACATACGACATAAATTCTTTCTAGCTTAAGTGCGCTGCAGATTGTGCTGCATCGTTTTCATGAGTCGAATTTACACATTCATGCAGAGGTAACATCTGAAGATATCTGTTCTGCTGATTGGTATTTAAATTTTTAAAAACTTGAGATATTTAATTAAATTAATTTTGCCCCAATTTAAATTTGCCCAAAAAGATTTTTGTTTAAGATATAATACCGTTTACTTTGAATATGTACGCCTCGTTTTAAATTTGCTTCCAACGGAGGTGAAAGGGGCGAAATAAAAACGGGCGAATATAGATTGCCCATTCATTTTCAAAATGACCCATTAAAAAATTTAAAAACAGTTGCACCATAGTCCCATTGACCTTCCTGTCCTTCCTAATCACTGTTGCTCAGGTGAGCTAAAAGTGAACCCCACATTTTGACATGTATTTCTGTGTTTATGACAATACACATGTTGACAGAACTCATAGTTCTTTTATCATTTTCCACCCATAACTTCACTGTGGTAACAAAGGCATGCAGAACAACAATCAGAACTTCAACTCCTGCAGAATGTCAGACTTGCCAAACAGTACAATGTACGTGTAGACAATGTGATCATGAAGGCTCCAAGACCATAAACTGAGAACAGACTTAAGTCAAAATTTCAAACCAATATAACTTTTGAAAATCAAACAAAATTTTCATTATATGTTTGAATTCAAATGTTATACAAAATTGCAAATTTTTAAGCAAAAGCATTAAATAAAAGTCAAGATATTATAAAGATCAAAATTTTGACTTAAGTCTGTGCTCAGTTTATGCATGGTCTTGGGGCCAGGGCTCTCTAATGATGTGCTTAACTCATACTCCTACTTTAACAGGTCTGGTACAATCACTAGATTTAGCTGCATAGCTTAAATTACCTACATAGCTTTATTTACCTACCTGAAGTAGCTTTATTTAGCTACTAAATCAAACTACAGACTGTTAGTATATACATTTTTAACATTTAAAGGAATTCATCGTCTGAAACTCCGGCGACGATACGAGTTACTAAAGGTACGAACTGACGAAAATTATCCAAAATATACATCGCCTTAGATTACGATATTAATCAGTTATTGAGTTAATTAAAAAGACCGTTTTAAGGCATGCAGTGAGTCTGTATTACCCATAATGTACAGATGTAGCAGAAAATTGCAGAATCGCTCCGAAACGATTTTGGAGAAAATTAATGACGTTGCATTGAAAATAAGTCAAATTAATCATAACAAACCTTTTCATGACTGTAAATACCTTTCATCTAAAAATCTAATCCATATAATGGAAGAATTCAACACTTTTCACCAACGTTTTTTCTCGTTTCAAATTTACACACTATGTTGACATTCGGAACTCTCGGGATTTTTCATAGTAAATCAATGAGTTAGAGTTTTCTTTGCTACATAGAACGGAACGCATTCTATCGTTAAACAGGGTCCATAAGGACATTTTAACGATAGAACATTCTATTTAGTTTTAACGTGCATCAATCTACCACGTTCGCCCATTTTTTTTCCCGCTACATCACATAATGCACAGACGCATGCACGTTGAATGCAATCTGCATGTTGAATGCAATCTTCTAATAACATATGTAATTATGAAAACCTTAATAACTATCATGTGAATGTACAAACCTTGCTATCAATACAATATGTTGGCCTAATCAATGCAGATGCAACATCCAAAGCAACATGATCAGGTATCCAGTCAATTCGTAACCAAACCGAGTTGTACCCAAACCGAGTCGTAACCAAAAAGTCAACTCGTACCCAAAACTGAAGTCAACTCGTATCCGAGGTTTTATTTACAATTGTTGGAATTTTTCATATGAAAAACTATAATTTAAAAAAAAAATAACGAAAATCAGAATTTGAAGAAGAAAATTGTTTATTTTTCATAAATACTTTAATGGTTAAACATTTTTAAAATCCTTTATTAGAAATTCAAACAATTATTGTTAATGCGACAAACGAGATGCTCCTAATTTCATTCCTAAAAGTTCACCATGGTGCGAGAATGTATGGAAAAAATACATACAGTGGGAAATTATGAAATAAGGAACCAAAATGACTATAAAAGTGAATAAAAAAAACAAAATATATGGTGATTAATGCCCTTATCATATTTGTATTTTATAATTCAAATTTGAATAAAAACTTACATATAGGCCTGGTATATACATGTACAGTAGGGGGGACAAAAGTGTTGACAAAAACATGGCGCCCGTAGAAATTATGTCGCGTCTGTCCTATCGTAAAGCGTTATTTTTATTTTTACCGACTACGTCATAGGGATTCCCTTTAGACACAAATGACTGCCGTCATGAGAAAAGGGCCCTTATCTTTTGACGTCACAATGCTCAGAAAACGACGTCAAAGTCGCGGTATTGTAAACACGGAAGTAAATTTTGTTGACTGCGTTTTTGTAGAAATACACGTGTAGATAGAATGAAATAAAACTGGATTTCCTGGCTCGAAAAAAAAAATAAAATCATACGAATTTCGAAGCGGAAAATTCTAATAAATAACATTTTTACCATTTACTACATGTATTTATTCATGTTTCTGTGTAAATATTCTGTATAACATAATCCAAACGTTATGTTGAACGCATTATCAGATATCTAGAGCGATTAAAAGCGACGTCTGTATATGATGCAAGGCTACAGATATATATTAGTATATATATTTTTTTTCTTTTTTTGACTGAGCTATATGAAAATGCTTATATTCGACTTATACACTGATGTATTAATTAGTCTGAGTATTGATAGGTAGTTAGTACATACATATATATTTTTTCAGAGGGAAAGAGAGAGGGGGCACTCAATGACATATACATGTACGCGTTGTTTAAAAGTTAAAATGCTTCTTTCATTTGGAAAAATATATTGTAATAATGTTATGACATATTTTATTTCTAT